GTTAAAATAATCGACCAAAATCGTCTGTTTCATATATAACAAATATGGAAAAACTTAATGTACCAGACAGTGAAATGTCGCCATCAATAACAAAACAAAATCCTTGGACATCGCACAATGACAAAAAAAGACATGTTTCAATAACGGTTAGAGTTTTATTCTTTTTCTAATATTTATTCAACAAAAAAATGAATACTAATTTTATATATAAATATTTAATATTAAATTAATTTTTGTATCAATGTAGAAATCCAATGTTTTACATCCACACTCGTCAATTAGAGCCGAGTCTCCATCATCACTATCAAATCGTGTCATTCATCAACAAGAAGAAGATCCGAAGTCAAAAGAATCATCAGCAGAAGAGATTCCATCACTGGTTACAAATACAATACATTCTATCGGACCGAATCCTGAAATGTAAGAGAGAAAAAAAAAATCTTTTCATAGTTAATATCATTCATATTTTTGATGAATAACAATATAAAGATTTTGATAATAATCAATACTAATCTACTATTTATTATTGTAGCGTAATATCATCAATATCAACCAATAACGAGAACACAATCAATGAAAATGATGATAACAAAAATCATACAAATCTGTCTTTTAATCAAAATAATGGTGAAGAACTTCAAAAGAATCAAAATGTAGAGACTAAAGTGAACAACTAACACCCATAAGATTTTCACCAAATACTAATGTTTACTTAATTAACACTTTCAATATCCTTGAAATCTCGCTATTTATCAACTCTTCTTTTGCCTATTATTAAATACTATGATCATATAATAATCGATAGGATCTTTCATCAATCTGCTTTTTTTGTATATTTTACTTAAGCAATAGATGTCTTTGCACATATCTTTTTTATGCCAAAAGTGATTTCGCAAGAATTTCTAGCAATAATGTTAAATGAAACGTTATGAATCTTGGAATTAATTCGAAGTGTCTAATTTGATAAATTTAAATCTCATTCAAATAAAAAGTTTTCGTGCAAACTGATTGACCATATTTAATTCAGAGAGAGATTGAATACAACAAATTGACTCATAAAAAGTTACGATTGACAAACAGAATGAGTACTCGTTATATGTATCAATGTAGTAACAAATATAAATATCCGAAGAAGAAAACAAGTCATCGAGGACGGCAAAACTTATCCGATCACAATCAACAATAGTGATTAAAGTGTTCGAATTCAATTAAAGTAGAACTTATGTTTAGACTAACCATAGAACATACAAATATAAAAGCGACTCGAAACACTTGAGAAACAATTCAACACAAAAGGTATTGATCTAGATGAGTATTTGAAAGGGCTTTTTCAGAATAGTTCTGAAAAATAACAAAGAACGATGAAACTTTGATAATTTTCTTGAACTAACTCGTGATATTGAATACTCAAGAAATGAGCAGCTTTTGGATGAATGTTTGCTAACTAGGAGACTCAACTACAAAAATTAGTTCACGGAAAATTAGCGATGAAATAAGATACATCGAATAACAATTAATAATGCTATTTACGTTAGTAGAACAATTTGGAATCACCATTTAATGCTTTAGCTGTAAATTAGTAGTGCATTTAAGTTTGAGCACTATGATAATTGCTCAGATCTAAAACTAAGGAGTGTTGTGTAGAATGACAATTGCTATTTTCAACACATTCTTTTTTTTTCTCATTAGTGGTTTCGTTGAGAATTGGATGAAAATTCTATTCAACCATATAAAGAACAATGTTATTTACTCATACAGTAGAATCATTTCTGTTGTTTCGTATCGCGCTCGTAAGCATTAGATGATATTGAGTATACAATGTAAAATATGGGAACAAAATATTTGGTTAGTAAAATAGATGAAATGGTCAGTAAGTTAAAAAGTTATAAAATCGGTAAATTGAATGATTTATCAGTAAAATGAATGAATGATCGGTAGATAGATTGAAAGATCAGTAAATAAAATTTACTAACGGTCAAATAAATCAAATGGTAAATATAGAAATTGAAATGCATTATAGTGTGATTTATTTATTTTTCTTCGTTTCTTGTACAATGTAGTACAGATGATATGTATGGTTAAGAAGCATTCGAATCAGCTGTTTTCATCTGTTACTTTTGCGCAGTCTCTTCTATGTTGCGACTTTCCTCTTCTCATTACATCACACGTATTTTTCCATTCTATCATATGTATTTTCCCTTGTCGTTTAATGATAGATTTTCTCCCTCTTTGTTCTCTCACAGGTATTTCCCTTCAAACGCGCTCGGATATTACCATATCTAGGGCATTGCTCATACCCTATATATAATTGCTGAGTTTTTGCAATAAAATATATGTGTTTGCCGGATACAATTATCTTTGGCTACTACCCAACCCAATAGAAACAACACGGCGTCCGAGAGGAATAACTTCACAATGACATGATACAACTTGCTCAATATGCAAGTGATGTATCAGATAAAGACATTGCGGAAGAAAATTATGATATAAATGAAAATGAAAGATCTTCCAAACAAGAAATAAAAATATTAGGTTAAAGAAACTATATTTGATAATGCTGGCAAATCAGTAGCATCAATAACAAATGCATGGTCAAAACACTATAAGAACTGTACAGAAATTAGAAGAACAGTTTATTATAGATACAAACAAAGTCCAGCGTCCTGAGTTTCAATGTGAAGCAAGTATTTATCTACTGTATTACTCAGACAGTGATAAAGTTATTGTTTATAAAATTGAAGTTGAACATGATCATCATGATGATAAATTTCGTGGTATTGATGAAAATGTAAAAAAGTACATACATGAATTATATTATGATGGAATAACAATTTTGTTTAATTTTCTGTTTTTTCATTTCTTCTGTATTTTTTTATTTATTTAAATTATTTTTCTCATACTAAACTATGCTTTATACACGGTTGGAAAAAATATTATTCCAGGAGGGTAACGCTATAATTTCAAATAGGTGATATGATGAATTTTATACCAAATGAAAGCCCGTGAAAAATGGGATTTATTGATGCTAAA